CCCCAAAACCCCAAAACCCCAAAACCCCAAAACCCCAAAACCCCAAAACCCCAAAACCCCTTGTTAAGGAGCTGTTGTTGAATTTAAATTTAGAATATTTTCGTTAAATTCTTAAGACAAAATGGAAGAGAAGATATTAAATTCTTTTAGTAGAGAAGGTAATATAAATGGATAATTTGATGAATAATTTCTTACTGAAATTCAAGGTCTTTACAGCCATTAAATTAGATTGACAGGTTTTATGAGCATTTCATCTTGAATTTATTTGAGTTACAGAAAAATGGTGTATTTTGAAGTTTCATATAATTTATTTAAAAGAAAATTTTTGGAAGAATATTGTCTTAAAATTCAGAATTCTCTATAAATTACGAATAATTCATAAATAATGATAAAGGTACTAAAAAGATATCAATTAATGAAGCAAGAAAGCAAAGAAAGAAATATGGAAACAAATCTATGGAAATTCAAAAGTATGATTAACTAACTATCTTTTATAGTCATTTTAGTCATCCATTCAAGCCGCCAGGAAGTTGGAATACTTTCAAATAAATCACCTGATAAAATTCTCTCAGAATCTCTAAATCATAGTCATAACATTGACCTAAATTTTGACTCTATGTGCTACAAAGATGGTTTAAAATGGAAGAATAAGCCTGTTATGGTTTTCAACAATATCAGCTTACTTTCAGAGTCAATCCAAAGCTGTTCAAACAACTCCAAAAGGGAACCTGAAATTAAGCTCTCAGAGCCTAGTTTGATGAGGTATCAGGTTGAACCAGAGGTCCTCCTGACTCCTGAGCGGATTAGTACCAGAGGAAATTACACTAATCATCCTTTGGAAAGATGTCTTCCAAATCAGGTAATAGCCTCTCCAGAGAGCATTCATACTCAGAGTACGAAGAGCATCACTTGGAACAACAAAAGTGATTCAAATGACATTTTTCTGTATGATTTGAGAGATAAAGGCATGCAGATCAGTAGCGAAAGTGTAGTAGACCTTTTCAATTTTAAAAGTAACGACATTTTATGAATTTTAGGATTCCCTTCTTCAACAAGTTGTGACATAGATGATGTCAATATTTCAGATGGCGATACTGATAGAAAATCTAATAATGAAAACTTATTTAGAAAAGAACTCTCCAGTATTTATGAGAAAACGAATGAGAGCCATACAGCTACATGAGAAAGAAGTAAAATGAGCAGATCAAACGGCCAACCACTCCAATTAGCTTTACCAAGCTCGACTGAGGTTAATTTTTATAAGAAAAGTATCGATCAAATAGCTGATAAAGAAAACAACCATAAATAAAATAAATGAAATCCCTGCAGTAGCAATTTCTGAACCTAGATCAACAATAACCCCTGGAAAATCTCCAAACACAAAATTCAATTTCAAGCACCACAAAAAGCAATCCCACAGACCCCTATACAAAAGCTTAATATCCCAACGCATCCCACTCGCCCACTCCACAATCCCTCCCAACCCTCTCAGCATAAAGTAAGCTCATTTCTACCACCCCAAGTTAAAATTTCCCTTAAAATTCCAATCTCGCTTCTAAGCCAGTTCAGATTTCTTCTAAATTTGTACTAGAAATTTTAGTTTATATAGAACTTGTAGGAAAGAGCAGCCTTAAGGTGGGTAAGAAGGAAGTAGTGGGCATGAAGAGAGTGGTTCAGCAGTCGAATTTGAAGTAAGAGGTTGGGTTTATGAGGAAAATAAGTAGAGAGCTTTTTGTGGGTATTCTAAGTTTTGGTATTTAGAAAATGAAGTCTAAACTATTTAGCATTATTTCCTGCTTCTTAATCTATATATCGACCTCATATTTATCATTTCTTTTACATTTTGCCTAAACCTGCTAATATTTCAATATCTTTCAAATTCTATGTTCCTAATATCACTTTACTTCGATCATAATTCTCCCCAAAATCATGCAGGTTATCATCATATCAGCATAATCCCTAACTCTTTTCTAGTAAAGTGCTCCAAAAGGCTCATTGGAGGAAGCCTTTACAAGGCTGTCCTCGCCAGCTTGCAAATAAGGTCAAGGTCAAAGGCTGCCCAGAGAGGAAAAAGAAAAGGAAACCCAAAGGTAGAGAGCTCAAACAGGCAAGAGATTTTTGGAAAATTCATCGAGATTTTGTAGGATAAGTTCTCCAAAGCTTGTCCAAGTTTTAATCAAGAATAAATATTAATACTATTCCCAGAATTTATACCAGCCGATTTCCTTCCTTATTTTTATACCATATTCTCCCTTCACTACCTTAATGCTTGTTCTCGCAGTGCCAATGATTGTGGTATGCTACCTTCCTTACTTAAGCTAAATATAAATTTAAGATAGATTTTCAAGAAAGACTCATTTCAAATTAGTGGTCTTAATAAGGGGTTTTGGGGTTTTGGGGTTTTGGGGTTTTGGGGTTTTGGGGTTTTGGGG